ACGTATTGGCGGTGGGAATGACATGTACTCATAGCTAGTAGTGTAGTAAGGTTGAGTAATTGGATACAGATTAGTTTTTAATTTAATTTTTTATTTAATTATTTTGGTAAATTTATTTATTTTGTTTTGTTTTGTTTAGATACAAGAAGGACTGGATTACCAATTTATATAAAAAGGATGGGGCTCAAAGTGAGTTTTTTTACATTTGTCAACGGAAAACATCGAAAATGAGGGAGAGGAAAAACGAGGGTTTTGTGTTTGGTGAGGTGAGGAGAGCAGGAGATTCTGAATCGGAAATTAACAAAAGAAAGGCGGAAATATCCTACAGGTTAAACATTGTTATATACAGAGATGTAGAAAGAATGACGTGTCAAGGGTGTGAACAATGACATGAAAAGGGGTAACTATATGTCGCAATGATAGTTCGGCACACTAAATAACCTCAGATCCATCGGGTAGTACTAAAAGGGGGAAAAAGACCAAAGAAAGAAATCTTATAATTACATTACATAAAACATGAACCACCATCAGGAACGGAAAAAACCAGAAGAAGGGTGGAAAAGACCGGTCTAAGAGGTAGGGAAAGAAGAATTCTGACGAAAAGGAGAGGAATGGGTTCACTTTGACATCATCAACATAACGAAAACATCACGTCAAAAACGATTAGATAAGTCGTGTGAAGCAAGGGAAAGTGGGGGAGTACACGTCCGTGGGTCGTCTTTGACGTCTACCTAGATACCGCGAAGACAACGTCAGAATTGTCCGATACTAAGTCAAGAATAACTCTACAGAAAAGAGATCATTCAACAACAACTAACATACGAAACATTATACCCTGTATACTTGACATGTATATTGGTGGGATAGACGCAGACTGCAGAAGTTGGTGGTACGTTAGGATATAATGTCGGTTCGTAAGACGACATATGTGACTATTAACTAAGTCTACAAGAAAAATTTTATCTAATAAAATTTCAGACCTAACATATACGGTTGGGGGTTGTGCCGACGAAGGAAAACAAGAATCTCGGTAGACATATTTAAACATCCTATTAACAATCATGAAAAGCAAGTCCGTATGTATGAACAAAATAAGGGGTAGAAGTAAATAACGGTGAGAAAAAAAGGAAAGATACTATAGAGTTATAGATACACATCGAAGACCCCTTGTCGGTACCCCCTTGTGACGGATTTCTCACGAACCATTTGCCCCTATAAGAGTGAGGTAGTAAGGGAGCAAGAAAGGCAATGAGCAGGTCGGTTTTGGGTGCAGGGACCTTAAAACGTATAGGGTCGTTAGAAATTAATAAGACAAAACATTCATAAAAAAGAAGAGGTGATGGAATATCAGACTGGGTCATTACGTCTCGTTCAAAGAGAGAAGACTAGAGGTCTCACGAGAGAGGAACGAAGATAGTCTTGACGTAATTATCCATAACTCCCCCCCCCAGAAAATAACGAGGTTATGTGTCGGCGTTTACCCGAAATATAACATAAGATATTAAAAAATTTTCGCTACAAAAACGACCGGGAAGAGGTATATGATTGTGGCACTCAGATAACAACCTGGAAGTATCAACTAGACATTTACAGATAATTACGTGAACAAATAGACGCCGGGGTCACACGGTTAGGTCGATGTCGCAGCCGTTATTTAAATTATTGAAAAAACGGTAAAACAAAGGTGAACTAATTATACGTAAAAGGTACACATAAACGATAGTTCGGTGCGTCAAGGATCCATAAACGTTGAGTAAGTGGAAACAGTAACCTGCGGGAAGTATATCAAAAATCGGACAACGCGGTAGTTAGAACCGCAAAACACCCAAACATTTATTGGTACATCGGTACTGAACGAAAGACTGTAAACTGTAGGGATCAATATACTGGTGAGAGGTGAAACATTAGACGAGATACGATATAAGAGGGTAATGCCAATACCCCGTAAGAAGGCGGGAGTAGGTTTACGGGGTAGTAGAGGACATGTCTCGGCTAACATCGGTACACAGATTCGTACATTTATATAGTAATTAGTACTAAATTTATTATAACTGAACTGACGTGAGGGAACCCCTTATGGTAAAAGATAAAGGAAGTTGTTTGCAATCCGCCAAAAGCAAGAGAAGAAGAAGAAGAAGAAACCAAACATGGAACGCACTTGCAAGACGGCGGTCGCAATTGCGCAGGTCTGTGTCGGTCTCGCTCATTTCAAACGAGCCTAGTGTCTTCCCAATAAACCATGGCTGCTTTTCAAAGTACATTTTCAACATGTCAGGTATAACTACTGTTCTGTCAAAGCAAATCCAGGTCTGATAATATGTATCATACATTTATTTAGCAAGGTTTAAAACCATGTGAATCATTTAGCTAAAGTTTAGCATGAAGGACTAAGCTAGACAGTGGTTAAACTTAAAGGTGACCTATCATGCAAAATGCACTTTTTTACGTCTTTTATACATGAATATGTGTCCCCGGTGTTCCAGGGAACTCACCAAGTGTCAGAAAACACAACACTCTCTATTTTCCTCCATACCCAAATCTCTAAAAAAGGGGCTGCAACGGATCTGATACAGACTGATCCAGATTTGAACACTTCTCTGACGTCACAGAAGTGGCGCTACGGCTATTGGGCCAACTCCACCAATCAGGAGGAGACAGCCACGGACATTGCCATTCGAAAGCGCTGGAGACGCTGTAGTACATATGCCAGGCCTGTAGATGGTGCTCTTCTCACAGAATCATCCCATGCAAAGACAGTGTTAAATTGAGCGAAATGAGGAATGGCTAAAATGCATGATCTGTTTTGTATTTTGAAAAATAAAAATTATAAATATGCCTTATATAGGTATGGTCCTACACTATATTATTCAAATATAGCATGATAGGTCCACTTTAATGAGGCACTGGAGTGGTGTAAAATGGTATTTCAAAAACATTATACAAAAGCCATCGTGCCAAAAAAGTAAAAAGCTTTGAGAAGTCATAATTTCATGTAATAGATGCAATATTATCATTTTGATTATAAAAAAAAAGAAAGAAAGATGGACCTTAAGTTTTCCACTCGTCGCACATGCTTTTTTTTGGTTATATAGTTACATACAAATACACACAGTTACAATACACATAGTTAAATATGCAAAAAATGTATTGTTGTTATTTGACTTCTTTCTCATTTCTCCTTGACTAGGACAACATAATTAAAAATGTGTCATCTTGCCCGACTCTCCCCATGTTCTTATTACACAGCTGTACAGTTTTCATTGTTCATCAACAATGTAGAAAAAAAGAACAAAGTAATGAAAATAAGTGATCAAGCATTTGACATTTAGTGTTGAACTGCCGTCCCTGACCTACCTACTCATCATCTGATGGAAGGTCACTGCTGCCATCTGGCTGTTAGAAGGGGAAAGATGCATTTTATAAAAAATGAACACTGTAGCCTATTTTATTGACTCTGCACTGTGTCTTATTATTCATAGGTCTTGCTTGCTGTAGAGGTTTTTACAAAAGCACTCTCTTTAGTTGCCTATCAGAAACTATTTTCTTTCAATTTGTTAAGTTACATTATTCACCGAAACAAACTGAACAATAAGTACTTTGTTAATAAAATATATGATACTAATATAATGATATCATAACATATAATAAAGATTGTGTTCTTTGATGAATGTGATGTAGGCTACACCGATCTGATTATGTCCTGCTGGCCACATCACGATGTGCCTCGCACGGGTCTCAGATCTGTTCTGCTTTGTTTCCAAAGCGGTTTTTTTTTCAGCCTGGATTGTCGTCTGTTGATGACGTTGAGGTAATGGCTGCTCTTGCATTGCCGTGAGGAATGCCTTTTCTCTCCACCATAGCTGTTAAATTAAACCACATGATAATATTGTAGAGTGTTAGAGAACAACACCACAGGAGAGGGGAGTTCTTACCGCAGCAGTGCCGTCTTTGAAGAGCTCCGGCAAGGCAAGGTGAATAAATGTGTGCTCGTTAGCCGCTAGCTGAGTGTAGCTGCACTTTAGCCTAAAGTTAGCTTCATAGGAGGCTGCATTGTTAACTAAAACACAGACAAGTGTTCTGCACAGTTCGCACATTGCTGGAGAAGCTGTGTCATGCCGGTTTGGTCACATTAACCGGTTAATTTGTGAAATAGTTTTAGGAATACATGGGCAGAGTTGTTGGGTGAGTGCGGTGTGGTCGCTCCTCGCATTCACGGAGAGATAAGGCCTTGTTGCCTCCTCGCGCAACCGAGCTATTAGAAGTGTGTTCTGCTGCAGGAACACTTTATATTTACGATCTCTGGCATGCTGTGTAATCATGTACACATCCTTAGATGACTTGCCCCACCGAATCCCAACGAAACATTTGAAGACGAGGGTTTGAGCTCCCAGCGTCACCACTGGCTGATCACGTTAACTTATTTGTTAGCTAGCTGGCTATTGATCACGTTTCATTTGCTGTTGAATTGGCAACGCCGGAGTTCCTCCTGTTGTCAATTATACATATTGCTATGTCTTTTCCTCATAGAAAGTTTTTTTTTTACATTAAATGATATTCCTCTTTGCAATAGACAGTTTTATTAGATTGCTAGCGAGTTTTCTTTACTCAGGCAAAGTACACATTAATGACAAACAAACACAGTTTGCTTTCGTAGACCATTATGTGATCTGTTGTATTATGAAAAGTGGGACATTCCAATCTCAATTTAAAGGTCTGGTTTGCTTATTTAGTTGGCATATATAGGGTGATAGTATGTGTAACATCTCTTGTATACAGTACTTAGTTTGTCTGATGGGTTTTAGCTGCTTGCAGTTGAACAAACTATATATAACATATATGATATGGTATGTAACCTGGCTGACGTGTACGGTTGTTCAAGTCAGGTTTTTGAATAGATTCTGGCTTGATGTTTTCATTATATAGAAAAACACAAATGTTCACCATGCAACATGTTTACTTGGGCGTTTCAATGTGACTGGTTTTCACAAACTACTATATTTCTGTTTACTCTAGAATATTCTCTAATGGATGCTCCTGAAAGCCCTACCCAATCCCCTCAGTCCCCTGAGGATGAGGAGGAGGAAGAGAAGGGCCTTTCTGACAGTGAGCTGCTGGATTCTCCTGATGAAGATGGGGTCATCTCAGACAGTGAGTTGGTCAATGAAGAGGAGAATGGGGGACTTGAGGAGGAAGAAGACATGTTGGAAAGCAGAGGAAGAGGATCGGAATTAGAGGAGGAAAGGGATGAAGACGATGAGGTTGTCCCTGATTTTGTCTCAGACCCTGAAGATGAGGAGCCTGAAGGAGTAACAGGAGGGATGGAACCTGAGGATGGGACCATTTTGCTGATTGAGGGGGATGAAGATGGTCCGCATGCAGACCAGTTGGATGGGGAGGACGAGAAGAAAGGAATGGAGCCAGAGGAGGGAGTCTTTGACACCCCGCAGTCTCCAGACTCCGAGCCAGAACAGGGCAAGAGCTTTATTGCTGAAGAAGATGAAGAAGACGGGGAGGAAGGATACGGATACAGCAAGGATGACTCATCAGATCCATTGGCAGCTGAGGTGGATGACGAAGACAAAAGTAAGGCAGTTGCAGAGAAGAGGATGAGAGCTCAGGAAGAGGAAAGGAGAAAAGCGGTGGCAGTGAGGGACCAGAAGGATGACTCTGTGTCTGTTTCCCGGGAGCTAGACGAGCACGAACTTGATTACGATGAGGAAGTCCCAGAAGAGCCCAGCATCCCTGCACCTGACGAAGAGGAAGATGAGGAAGAAACTAAAGCAGCGGTAGAAGAGGAAGAAAATGAGGACAAGAGATCTAAGAGGAGGGAGAAGAAACCTATCCTCCCCCCTTCCCCTAAAGACAGTGAATACAAGAGGACAGGCAACTCCAAAGGCCCAGAGAGGATGCGCAGAGATTCCTTCAGAGACAAAAAGAAGGAGGAGGATGATGGAGAGATTGATGAAGGGGAGATTGATGTAAGTGTTCCCAGTTTGGATGTTATACAGGGGTTTTTCTAGAAAGATATAGTATGAGGGCGCTAAAGTCACTTCCGGGCCCGCCCTCTTTCGAGCCAAAATAATGTATTATCGACGCGGAAAATAATAGTTTCTTAATGTCTTGAAGCTGCTGAGTCATATATAGCACCTCAACAAAAAATTAATTAGAGTAACGGTTTCTTTATTTCCTCTACAGACAGTTCAAATAAAGTTCATCTAATTTAGAAATCACAGTTTCAGTGTTAGCCTGCTGCCTGCCACTCGTCCACCGGCAGACCGAGCAGACATCCATCACCTATTGATTCTGAGCTCCGTAAAAACAAAGCTGCGTCGGCCATCTGACAGTCCATTCAACAAGATTTTCATATTTCTTGAGTAATTATACAGTTTTTGACGAACAGAAATATTGTTTTTCTGGCATCACATTTTACAGGGATAATCGGCATTTAGGTATGAGGGCGCACGTTAAAAGTAAGTGTGTGTGCAGTGCCCCTGTTACCCGGTTTAGACAAAACCCTGCTATATTCTTCAGTTGGGTGATTGATTGGGTGCAGGCTAATGGCAAAAAAATGCTTTCTGTATATACATGTCTTGGTAGCTGTTTTTTATAGACTGAAGTTCTGAGTTGTGTTTTGTTTAATTCATCAATACAAAACTTTTTTAAACTGTAGCTTTTGATTTTATGGACTGTTTTGGCTCGACAGTTAGATGTCCTAAACTTTCCAAGGCATTGGTCAGGGGCCTATTAGGGTCTAGTTCAATTGACCGGCATTGGCTAAAATAAAGCCGTTTTTAAATGTTGATCCTTTCCTGGATGTACTCCTCTGTGTTTTGTCCACCTCAGCCCGCTAGTCTTAATGCTCTTCTGCTCTGCAGCCTACACGACAATTTACTATAAAATACCAGTGAAAATATAGTGAATGTCAAAGATAATTTCGACTTGCAGCTTTGAATTTGGATATCCAGTTTACCAAAATAACATTTAATCCTAGATATCTCTTTTTAGTGAGCTGAGAGCAGTGTACAAAACATTCAGTATAACCTGTCCACACTGTAACATCACTGTAACAGGCAGTGGACTCAGCTTTTCTGTTATAACCCCTGCTGAATAAGTCACATTAATTACAGGAGGTGCATTCTTCTATTGATTCTTCCACATCATTCAAATCATATAAATAACTTAATAGTTTGAACCTGGACCATTAGTATGTCAGTGAAGTAGCTTGTAAACATGGGACAAAGGCTATACCTATTATTTTAATAACGGACACACATTTAATCCTCTGCATGTTCCCTGCTAAATTTATATAAGTATTGGATCAGACTCCATATCACCAGTTACTCATTAATAACGAAATTGTATTGGGATCTGGATAAAACAACTGTATTGAGACATCCATACTGAACAATATTTATAAAATAATGCATTAAAAATGTCTAAATACCATTAGTACACTAAAACAATTCCAGTATGGTGTCATCCCTAATGATTCACATGTAGGATTCGTTCAGACCTTCTTATGTGTCATGATTTGTTATGTCTGGGCAGGATGATGACCTGGAGGAGGGGGAGGTTAAAGACCCGTCAGACAGAAAGATCAGACCACGTCCCATCTGCAGGTTCTTCATCAAAGGTAGGTCTTTGTGTGTGTAAACCACACTCAGAACATGGATTGCCAGATTATTTTGTCTTACTTGCTGGTCAGATCCTTTGTAGCTTAGCCTTGTCAAAGTAAAACACTCTGAAATAAAGTATTTGACTTAAGACTGTATGTCAGTGATTGTTATGTTCTACAGCAGGGAGAGTCATTGTACTTAAAAATAGATTTTGGTTTCTTTTTCTACTGCTCATAGTAAGACATGCACTCAATTAAAAACATGGAGATTAATCAAAATGTAATTCTTTCTTAAAACACCTTATTGTTGCATCCATCATTACTCTCTAATTTGATGATTTAGTTTGTACCAAAAAAGTATGACAAAGTGGTTTCTGGTTACTCTGGGTGACTGTGCCTGTGATATCAACTGATTGTAAACCGGTTCGTTGTTTTTTTGTCCTCCAGGGAATTGCACTTGGGGTATGAACTGTAGGTTCATCCACCCTGGAGTCAATGACAAGGGTAACTATTCTCTCATCAGTAAGCCTGACCTCTTCTCACCTAATGGTGCGCCTCCTGGAGGACCACACCCACTCATACCCAACAATCCCTGGGTAAGTATTTGTTGCTTTGGTTAAACACTAAAAAACAATGTACAATTTTGGGCATTTTGAAAAAGCTGCTGTACAGATAAAACATAAAGATAAAAAAATGGACCCGAATAAAAGCATGTGAGCATTTGTACAAATATTAGGCAACTGTTCCCACGTTAGGTTGGACCTGCAGTGGAGGAGCTCCCCCCACCTCCTCCTCCAGTGGAGCCTCCTGTGGAGAGTGCCTGGGAGCGAGGTCTAAGGCATGCCAAAGAGGTAACACTAATAAGAAAATTCTCTTCATCTCATCATTAAACCGTGTTGATGCTCTCTTTCACCAACACTTATTATCAGTGTTTAATCCAGTGGTTGTGTGGTCCGGCTCTGTTTCCCATAGGTGCTGAAGAAGGCCACCATTCGTAAGGAACAGGAGCCCGACTTTGAGGAGAAGCGTTTCAACGTGACCATCGGAGAGGACGAGAGAGAATTTGACAAAGAGAATGAATTCTTTAGAGAACGCAGCTACCGCATCATCAGAGAGTATGACCTTCACATTGAACACATTGTTTTTCTGATAAAGTGTCCCTTGCACCTTTTGCTCTGTTACCTTAAAAGTACTTACATTCTTAGTCTACAATAACATCATCTTTGTATTTTTTAAGTTAGGCATTGTGAGATTTGCACATTATATAACTACAAATATATCAGTGATAAATATGAATAAATAGATTGTTCTGTCATTGATGCAAATGTCTTTTCCTCTTTCAGCGAAATGGAATTCAGAGATCCTGTATATGGGTAAGTGTAGACCAACTTGAATAACTTTAATGAAACTCACTAAGCCTTAGTCTCGACAGATGTAACTGGGAGACCAAGAGCATTGTCTTTTGTATGAAACTGTTGAAGAGGACACTGCCTAACATTTAGGTCACAGTTGAACAGACTATTAATGATTTGTGCACAGCTTTTTGGTCTATGTCTCTTGTCAGAGATGTGTGTATTGCTTATTTAAGTCAGTGTATAAGGCATCTCTGTTCTTTCTGAAAACTGAAAAAAGTCAGTCTGACTCATGAATATATAATAAACATGTATATCAAGTATTTCCCATTGCGATCCTTAAACATTAAAATAACCTTTGTGGAATATTGCAGTGACCCCTATGCTGATCCATACTATGACTATGAAATGGAGGCCCTATGGCGAGGTGGTCAGTATGAAAACTTCCGAGTGCAGTACACAGAAGCTCCTCTTCCTTACCCCTACAGTGTGAGTATCCTCCGCAGACTGCTCCGAGTGTTATAATACATCTTCAAATAAGTATAAAACACCAAGTCGAATTTGTCAAATGTATTGAACTGGTGATCACAGTTTGAACAGTTGACAGCTATAGGCCTACAGCTTTCATGCTTAAAACATAACTTGGTTTTTAAATGAAAGAGAGATCATACACGATC